CATCAAAGTTAAGTTTCGCTCTATATATAAGGAATTTTTTCATGGGACCATGACCATTGGATTCTTTACTCGATACCCTATCACCCTTAAAATGTGCGGCATGGTATTGATCCTTGTAGTGGAAATGGTTGCATTCGCAATATGTTGATTCTGCCGATGCCATTTCTAATAGACAAGGGTTAACTTGGGTCTGTGATCCCTTGAAGCAAGACTTGGACATTGCGTTCGTCTCTAAGTCCTCTCTCATCTCGCCAAATTTCATGACCATTGAATTCATCATCAGGAAGTGGTTGAACAAATACAAAAACATGATAGAACTGTGCAGCAGAAGCTTAACCGATGATGAATAAGAAGTAACAAATTCCTTAAATTTCTCACGCAAAGCTCACGATGGATTTAGAAGCTGCGAGCTCAAAGTTGAATATCAGAAAGATAAGCATTGATCAGATAATGGTTATCATCACAAGACACCTAAAGAATGCATTCAAATTCAATCAAGTTACATGATTATCATTTAAAGCTAAGTCGTGTGAAGACAAAGACGTATGGTCAGCAAGTGTATAAGGATTGCAAGCTTTCATGATTATCAACTCATAAACATATATATAAATCTCGTTTCTCGATGGGGATGGGGTTTAATTTCTTGGTTTGGATTTTATTGGATTAACAGAGTTGGATCAATATACGCAATAATATTTGTGTATTAGAGATAGAGAGATAGAAGAGAGTGATTGTATATGCAGTAAGTTAAGAAGCAATCCACTGATATGACTGTTTTCTAAACTATAGTGCAAGAATCCAATAGAGAGATAAGTTACTAAGTTTAGATTCACTTGAAACCCGATATTGAACAAGGAGTAGATCCAAGGAACTATACTCTGTGTTTAAGTTTAGGTATATGAGCCCATATTGCCCTTGATATTCTTTCATTTTCATATGTTTGTATATTTTTCTTTTCCTAATTTTATTTATAGGTTTCAAGGCCTGAATCTAGGGTATCGGCCTAGTCCCCGACTGATGTAGATTGTCACAGAGGAATAAATCTATAGAACTCTTTCAATCCCAATAATATATATAAAACATGTGTTTGCTCTCTGATACTGAATGCACAAGCAAATTTGGCCCAAGTGTGTTTGCTCTCTAGTTGTTCTTTTGGAGTCATATGTTGTTTTTAAGCATTCTAAATAACTCGGCTTCACATTTTCGGAGTGTCCAAATCTCTGGCGACTCCATTGGGCAAGAGTTCAGCCTTCATCTTGGGTTGAGTCTAAAACATATATATTATGGCTTTCTCTCTCTGGGATTGGGCTTCACGACAGTCTCTCTATATTTCTATCTCTCTACCTTGACAATCGTACCCCTGCGTTTAAGCTTAAGTTGTCAAAGGGGATTTTTTGTTTTAATGGCCACCATCGCAATGTCATTTATGGTCGTGACCATTAATGTCCTGTGCACATTCCAGCATCAATGTATGAGCCAATCCTTAGCAAAGTTTCGACCTACCTGGGCACTTTGTTGCAAAATTTGACTGTTCAGGGATGCCACACACAAGAACTTGGGACTAATTCGAAGAGGAAAGTCCATGCGAAAGTCGACAAGGTCGGGGCAGTTGTTCGATACTAGTCACCCTTACTTATCCCAATGAACTACAGTGGATGGCTAGTCTTAGCCACGATCTTAAAAGATGCAGCTCGTAGCTCCCTGATCAAGGCACCATTCACAAGCCTGAAGCCAATTCAAATGATGAGGGCCGATCCCCACAATATGGCCAGCCGACAAGCTTATTAGCAACATTAGGCAGATGCTACGAGTTAACGTTGTCACAGGCTGGAGGCGGAGATCAACCCAAAGATATTTGCATGTTGAGCACTATGCGTAGAGAGGCAAGATGAGGTTGTCTTACCACGAACCGATTCGTCTCGCTACTCAGAACCACGAGAGGTGAGCCTTTCATTGTATGGACGTCATTTCCACCGAAGATGCATGAACCAACAATTAGATCTCATTGTGATTCTAGCTTGTTTGAATGATCATGTCTTGCTCATAAGCTGGCAGTTATGACTCATTGCAACCCAACTCACTCGGTTCACCATTTTCTTCAGATAAGCTAGTAGTTAGGGCTCATTGCTACCCTAACTCGCTTAGTTCATCACTCGTTGCTTGTAAGCCGGTGGTTAGGACTCTTTGTGATCCTAACTTGCTCGGTTCGTCATTTTCTTCCCATAAGCCAGCGGTTATGACTCATTGCATCCCTAACACGCTTGGTTCACCATTTTCTGCCCATAAGCCGGTGGTTAGGACTCATTGCGATCTAACTCGCTTGGTTCATCACCAGTTGCTCGTAAGACGACAATTAGAATTCATTACGACCCTAACTCACTCATCTTGGCACCTTTTGCTCATAAGTATGCAGTTAGACCTCATTGCAAGTTTAACTTGTTCAGACCTTCACTTTATGTCAATAAGCAAGTAGTTAGGGCTCATTGCGACCCTAACTCGCTCAATTCGCCATATTTTTCCTATAAGCCAATGATTAGGGTTCATTGTAACCCTAATCTCCTCGGTGTTTGCCCAATAGATACTTATAAAAAACCATATCCCTCGTACTTTGACAAGATACCCTTTCCCTTGTGATATCAATGACCAAAGTTTCCCAAATTTGACGGGCATGGTTCTTCCCATCAGCACTTGGCTCATTTTGTATCAATCTGCGTGGACACCACCAATAGTGAATGCCTCCTGATGTGGCAGGTCATCCAATCATTGTCAGGACCGACATTTACATGGTACTCACAATTATCTCCAGGGTCAATGCTCACCTTGAGACAAATGCAAGAATCATTCGTAGCACGCTTTCACAACACTAAAAGGGATGTCTACTTATTCGAGCTTCTAAATATCAAGTAAAAGGACCACAAACCGGTGCAGCAATACATTGCCTGTTGGCAGAATTTTAGCTTGGGACAAGCCACTCCACTGCTTGAGTTACAAGAGGTGCATATATGCATCAAGAATATGAGGAATGAAATTGCAATGCATCTCCAAGCCTCCAATCCTATAACTTTTAGTCACTTGGTTTTCAGTATCGTAACTATTAGAAGAGATCCTGATAAAGGAAAATTCAAAGCTGGTCAAACTAAGACCTCCATGAGTACCTCAATAGTTTCCCAAGGTGGGAGAGGAAGGAATTAACCTCCTCCCAAGGATTATGACACCTCGCAAACATCAGTACGAGGACAATGAGGGAAAGTGGGAGACAACAAACTTTTTGTGAGCCTCTCGAAAGGAAGTACTCATTTGATAGAGAAGATGTGCCTGAAATACTAGAAACTTTACTTGCAGCTGGGACAATCACGCTCCCTCTGCCGAAGTACCTCGATCAAGTAGGGCAAACTAATCAACTCGACAATTGCGTATATTATCAGATGTTGGGACATGTGGTCAAAGATTGTTCCCCTTGAAAGATATCATTGAGAGTCTCTTCAAGGAGAGAGAGAGAGAGAGAGCCATGTATATTAAAACAAAAGTCTGCACTGTAACAATGCACAAATCGGATGATCTTTACAACAAATTTCTAATTAGTGCACTAATCGACTGATTTGTGCCAATAAGTACAACAAATCAGTCGATTAGTGCATTGAAGAAAAATTTAGAATACATGACCATCGGAATCGGGACAAGTCAAGATCAGCCAGTCACTGATCTCGATTTAGTTGGTCGATTTTTTTAAAATCGGCCGATCTTTTAAACAATGATCAACACCTAGTACCTTAAAACTCTCTCTGCTCTATAATCTTCATAAAAAATCTTCTCTTATAAAAAACAACTATCACCATTATGAAGCATAATATTATCTTCTCAACAATTATCACACTTCTCAAAACCACAATTAAAAAAATAAAATAACTTATTGTTTCATTTAATTAAAACAAAACAAAAGGCAAACTATGAAAGAAAAAGAAAGAGAGAAACTATTATAGGAAAATATTGAAAAAGTTGCTAACCCCAATAATTAATCTATGGCCTAAAATATATAACTCAATTATAAATGCATGGACATTTCCCCAAGTCTATCTTTTCATAAGTTTAATCTCTACATGGGTATTCTTCTCTCTCTACACTTAAGTATTCCTTTAGAATAGATTACCATAAAGGAAGATGTCATTTTTATCTAAAATTAGAAGGAATTTATATGTTTAAGCAAGATAAATATTCAGCTATCTCTCTATTTAATTTCTCTCCATCTCATTCTCTCATATACTCATCACTCTCTTTCTCACATAAATATGGATATCTATTTCTTCTTTCTCTTCATCTTTCTCTCACATACTTATCACTCTCTTTCTCCCCTAAATATGGATACCTATTTCTTCTTTCTCTCATAATTATCTCTCCACATACTCTCTTTCTCTCGCGTCTCTTTCCTTCTCTCTCATGTCTCGTTTTGTCCCCGTACATATGCTCTAGAGATAAGGTCCCTCTTTATTCATGTGGGCGTAATAATGTAGTATAAATAGTATGTTAATATAAATAAATATCTATCTAGAAGAATAACATGCCAAAATATTTCGAGCTAAAAACCCAATCTAGAAGTTTTTTAAGACCCTAAACATTGGGGATGTAAAGTCATTAACCCAAGGGGTGACCTCAATAAAATAAATTTCCATATGAAATTCTTTATATCCTACAAAAAAAAATAATGTATCTAGATTGAATAGAGACCATTTATTTTTTCGAGGGTGAGATCTAAGGTTCATCTAGTGATACTTAGATCAAAATTCCGATAAAAAAATCCTCCAAAGTCTTTTTTGCATAAAAGATAATGTAAGAAAAAAATCCACCGAAGTCTTTCGCATGAAAGAGTAAATGTATGGAATGCTCCTGCGGGAGCATATCATGAACCTTCAAAAAAATTAACATAATATAGTCTAACTTGAATGGCAATTCGATCATGTTATGGAAACCATATATATTTATTTGTGATCCCACATGGCCATGTACATTGATAAAAGCAACAATTATGGGTCCCTTGGAGGTTAGGGAATCCTCTTAGCTCTTCCGTGTGAACCTGGTGAAACATGAATCAAAGTTCAACATTAATAGGGATTTGTATACGTCTATTAATTCAACTAATCCCTTAACCTTAATCATTCCTCACTCTCAAACCCTAAATATTTTATTTCAATTCCTCCTGTATTCCTTATTTATTCCCCCAACCCTCCTTGTTTTGTGAGGCGATCTGATTCCTCGTGTTTTCCTTATTTATTCCCACAACCCTTCGGGCGATCTGCCAAAAATTCCCTTCGCATTCCATCCCCAACTGGTACTCTCTCTCTCTCTCTAGAATTTCTAACGATTTCTCTCTCTTCTCTAGAATTTGTAACGATTTTTTAAGAGTCGATCTGAATGATGTTTATGTTTTCTTATGGTGGGGTGCGCGAATGGCAGATCAACTGAGAGACGTCCCATGGCGAAGAGCTCGTTCAAGCTGGAGCATCCTCTCGGTGGGCGTGAAGTCTCTAACTCTTTTCTCACATTCTGTTCTTTTTTATTTTTCAAATTGGTTTTTTCTTTTTTTGGTTGAGATGGGCTCTGGTTTTATGGTTTGATATTCAATGTTTGTGGAGTTTTTGATGCGTTTGAGTGTTTCCTTTGATTGAGGGCTTTTTTAGGAATTCTTAAATTGGGTCCCTTTTCTCTTTCTTGATTTTCCTGTTCGCTAGATCGTTGCTTTGTGTTCCTGATTTTCATGAATTAATTCTGTGTGTGTGTGTGGGCTCGCGCTTGTGCGTGTGCATGTGTGTGTTTGTGCACGCGGGTGTTGCATGCGTGCGTGCGTGTGTTCCTGGTCAGAATTGTTTATCTACTTGGTACCATTATCGTGGTTAGGTTTTGCTAATAGATAGTCTATGGGGGTGGATTTCAGGGAGATCTTGAGGAGTTTTGATTTAGCGTATTTGAAAATTAAGTAATATTGTAATTGAGTGTATCGTATACTCATTATCAAAGACACATATTCTCCCCACTTCTGATCCTTTTTCTATTTTATTGGGCTGGCCTCTTTGCTCCTCCTTATATGGCTGGCTTTCCAGTTTACTATTTAGAGGCGATATAATTGTGAAAATTGTTGCATTGTTGTTATTTAGTGAGATATTTCCATTAAGACAAGAGTTGAAGACTACTGAGAAAGGTGTTCACAGTTTCATTGGGGAGCCTTATCATACTTTACCTTGTCCATGGTTTTAATACCTGTATTTTTGGACTGGTCTATTTTCAGTCCTAGAAGGTACCTAAGAGGTTGGAACACTAGGCCCAGTTTGGGTGGGCCTAGTAAGTGTCTCTTTGATCACTTTTACTCATGAACTAAAGGAAAACAGGTTTCGTCTAGTGTCTTTAGTTTTGCATTGTTGTTTTGTGGCTTTTCAAATAGACAGGGTTTGGAAATGGAGTGGATCAAACTTCTCGGTGAAATGTTCAGTGACTAGTCATTAGTGTGCAATTTAAAACTGCAGTCATAGAGATGCAATGTATGTAATTCACTTCCTCCACCTTGTGTCATTTGAGAGGGTCATTGATTGCTCTTTACTCTTTAGGTTTCTCATCGATACCTAAATGAGACTAACCAACATTTTGAAAAGCAGCCCACCTCGGCAGCTCTTTCAGGCAGGTTGATGCCCTACATGCCTGGCCTAGGCTGGGTAGGGTGCATAGGGCGTTGCCTAGGCGGGGGTGCCTAGTGTCTTGTTCAAGATTGGCTGCCTTGACCTCAGCATGTGTTGCTGCTGGTGGTGGTGCCTATGCATGCATCTGTGTGAGGGACAGAAAGCGAGAAAGAGGCCAGGGCATTAGGGACAGACATAGTGAGATGCTAAGATGCTGTACTTTTAAATCCTCAACCCTAAAATGGATAAAAGCCATGGAATTGGAGTCCAAACATTTCATCTAGCATTGGAGGTTTTTTGGTCTTTTGTCTCATTAGAACTTGGATGTATCTCTCGCATACACATGCAAATTCATGCCTTATCTCTCTCTTTCTCTCTTGATATGTGTGCCTGGGCACGGATGTGTGTGCGTGCAATCTCTCTCTCTCTTTGTGCATGCGTGCGTGTGATGCTTTCATCTAAATCACTCGGACGTGCAGTTTTACTAACCTTTCTCTTTGATTAAAAAGGTCAGGGTTTCTTAACTAAATTTCTGATAGTGAAAAGAGAAGCTCCTTTTTAATCATTTAAAAAAATTCATTTGTTAGAAACAAAATCACTTATCCAAGAAAACAGACGAATCTTTGCAGCAAAATATCTATTGTTTTGAGGAACTGTTTTATTCTTTCTTATTTATCCAAAATGAATAGATGACTTTTGAATGATAAATTTTTTCTTGAGTAATTTAATTTGGCACAATCAGTTTGCTTCAGTTTCTGAGACTAATCTATTCCACTTTTATATATGGGTGTGGTTTGTATAGAGCCGAGGCTCTAAACAATCAAAGTAAAGCGCACCTTCAAATAGTGTCGAGAAATATGATTTGAATACTGGAAATATTTGTGATAGCCTTAAAATATATTTCCATCTTTAATTATAAAATTTAAAACTTCAGAAATAGTGTAGATTGAGCAGATCTATGAAAACTTGAAAATCTTGAAAATTGACTGTCCAAAAATACGTTACAAGATGCACTATTTCCAAAACTTGAAATAGATTTTTTTCTCATGTCCATGCATCTTGATATCGAGATGATCAATTTAAGGATATTTGGGCATCAAAACAACCTCTTCCAGTGAAATTTATGAGGTGGGCTCTAATTTGATTATTTAGAGCCTTTGCTCTATATATAAACTTGTAAATTGTCAAATTGGTTTTACATTTCTTGAGTTCAAATTTAAGGGGCTTTACATTGTTCAATAGTTCTAAATTTGGAAGTTCAACTTTTTATGTGGCCAGAGAAAAGACATGCAGAAGCAGCCCGTATCAGGGAGAAGTACCCTGATAGAATTCCAGTTAGTATTTCTTCCGATATTTTTGAAGCTTTACTTTTCTGTTCTTATCATTAGCAAATCCTTTCATATACTTATACTCATCTGTTTATTTGCACCCTTAGGTGATTGTGGAGAAGGCTGAAAGAAGTGATATACCAGATATTGATAAGAAGAAGTTCGTTCCTTTCCATAATTACTTTTTATGAACTTGGTTATTTCTCTATCAGATATTATTATGTTATTTTGATGTTTATATGTAATAACGTATATATGGGGAACCTATTGCATTTTGTATTTGTTTTATTTATATAACATTGTAAACAAGAGGCGGAGATCCTTTGAAGACCTCTCGTGATATAATCCGTAGCTGAGTTTTAGGGCATCCAGTGTCTTAACTGTTGTGCAGTTGTAGGCAAGTTGCAATGTTAGGATTCCACTCTCTAAGGTCTATAGTAGGAAACAATCAATTGTAAGTTGAAAGTTGAAGGTTGTTCCCAAGGTAATCTGGAAATGGCAAGCATAGGTTGAGTCACAAGGGATGACATGGGAGCAATTTTGATATCATAAGTAGGATGTACAGGGGTGTCACCCTACCATAGCTGAGACAAAAGCAACACTTCTTGAGGGAGCTAAAATTAGTGATAAATCATTCATGGGTGTCTTTGGTAGTCAAAGACGATTGTTGGATTGCAATTTGATGGGCATGCGGAGTGACACGCCTGCCTGTTTCTTCACTCTACCACAGCTGAGACAAAAGCAACACTTCTTGAGGGAGCTAAAAGTAGTGATAAATCATTCGTAGGTATCTTTGATAGTCAAAGGTGATTGTTGGATTGCAATTTGATGGGCACGCGGAGGGACACACATGGCTGGAGATTAAGCTATTTCTTCCAGAGGTTATGATTTGTGTGCTAGTTGAACTAGTGTCCATGTCCCTTGCAGTGCCTATGAGGTGATCACTGCATTGGCTGGGAGGTGGTGGGACATCCCTCTTTCTCTATTTATCTTTTTGTTGTTTGGTTATCAAATGCCATTGTAGCATATCTCGCAACAGATGTATTTGTTATTTTCTCGAAGTAATAAAATAATTGTTACCTTCACTAACCACAAAAGAAAAAAGAAGAGAATAGATTGTTGAACATATTCAAAATCTCAGTATTAAGTATGTGTATTATAGTCTATGAGAAGTAGGTTTTTCTTCACTTTGCTGTCATTTTTTTTTTTGTTTAAATGAAATCTTTGTCAGCCAGGCTAGTCTTTTCCCATGTTTTTCAATATATAAGGATATGTCGATTCGAGCTAGGGTTTCGGGCATATCTTTCTGCAGGTTTTGTTTTAGAAAATATGATCGAAATCATGTTATAAAGACAAAAAGTGGGATGGTTGGAAAGTTCTGAATCTTTAATTGAGACCTGCTTTTCCAATGTGGCCTGATTAACTGATAATGAAATGTATGCAGCCCAGAGTGAGTGCACTTTCTTAATTAACATGCAATGTACTTTCACAGTAGTCTGATCCCATTGTCATCTTCGTGTCACTCACAAATTTGACAATATTCAATTTGTAATATTTGAACTTGGGCATGGTATTCTTGGAATCTATAATTTGCACTGGTGTTGAACTGCTTAAAGATATTTGTTTTGTATTGTTCATGTTGCAATAAATCAAGGGAGCATCTTCTATTTGTTCTTCATCTGATGTGGGTACTTATTTTATGGATAGCACAGAAATTATTTGGGGATGTTCTTGTGATATGATTTTAGATGTGGTATATGAGATACTTTGGCCCTTAAATAACAACGGGGATTCTATGTATGCCAATATGCATGCCAATACAATTGGATAAGTTAGGAATGTGGACTGTGATCTACAAAAAAGTCCATACTTGAAATGGTCATCTCCTTATTTGTTAAATCAAATGGACTTATGTTCTGTAATTTTCCCAAATAAATAAATAGCAGTCAAGATATGAAGGATTCCTCCATTTGCTTTTATTGTCTTAGTGAACTCATGTCAACCATGTGTTGGTTTTTTGCTTTTTGGAGCAATTCCATATATGCTAGGTTCATTTCAATGTTTTGATTCATCTTACCTCTCAAAAAGGATTTTATTTTTCTCCCTGATAAATGCCCATAAAAGATTTAGACTTTATCTACGAGGAAATCCTGTGTCTACAAATCCCATCACCTTTTCTGAAATCCAGACATAAAGTCTAGTATATCGAAATCTTTGGCAAAGTTAGGCACCCTAAAATTGACGTCATCTTAGCCATAGGACTTTCTCTAATCTTTGGCAGTCAAGTTAGGTGCCCTTTGGTGAAAATCAGTTTTGTCTCTCTGCTTGAGAGAAATAAAAAACTTGAGAAAATCACCAGTGTAACCTTTTTCTTGGTGTTTAGTGGAATTGGCCATCTTCTACATGAACGTAGCTTGACATAGCTTCTTTCTTGGAAGTAGCGAACCATGTTAATCTGGTCGTTCTTTTTGATGTAGGAGAAAGAGAATGAAAACAGAACTCCAAAGACATAGGTAAATAGAGATTACTCCCTCTCTCTAGGTCTGGTATGGAATCCACCCCAAAGTTTGAGAGTAATCTTTTATCTTTGGGGGTGGACTCCCTCTCTTTAGGCCTGCAATGGAGACCACCCTAAAAATGATCTTTTCGCGCTGCCCCAAAAAATCTCAATTCAACTTCCATATTTTTAGAAAACACAATATATTATACACTTACAAGAAAAATCTCTAACAGCTAACTTGAATCTTAGTCACTATTCAATCCTAGCCCTTCATCTTGCACAACATTAGCTATGAAAAAGATACCCCTATAATTTCGACAAAAAATAGTAAAGACATTAAATTTGGACTTCAAGAAACCAGAAAGTAAAACCCTAACTACATCATTCTCCTGGTGTTAGGGGAAGCCTGACCTCGTTATTGTTGAGTACAATGCACCCTTCAGTGGCTTGTCAGTAGTTAGTGATGGAGATCTGTTGTTTTTCATGGCAGTTTCTCCTCTTCAATCAATGAATTGACAAAACAGTTAATATCGAACTTGCAGTGGAACTCTGGGGTTTCAAGCATAATCTAATTTCTCTTTCTTGCTGAACCACGTTTTCTCCATACTATACAATTGGATCAGGTATTGGAATATTTTGTGGTTTTTCATTCATGCTTGGATTAGATGTTGGATGTTCCTCATCTTCATGGCATTCTTCTTGAATGTACTTCTTGAATATGTTGAGTATTTATGTGGTGCAATCATTGGTTATACTTCCAGCTTCCAAAGCAAAGTATATGTGGCCACAACGGTGTTGAACAAGTTATATGCTTTAAGAGGGTCTTGTGAGTGAACTTGGGAGGACTTGGGATAATGTGCCATATGTTTAGACTAAGTTTACAATACAAGACTCAGCATATAGTTGTCAATTGGCATTTCATTCATGATAATTTGTTGAAAAAGGTATTGTTGGTTGTGAAGATTGATGCCAAAAAGAATATTGCGGACTTGCTGACCAAGTCTCTCAGTGGAGAAGTTCAAACCACACTTCACATACTAATATCTTATGGGTTCTTTATACCTTTTCTCAACTCACCACCAAAATATATATATTAAAAATTATTGAATTTGCTAGGCTTTAAATATATTGGTTTAAAAATCAGATTTATGGTGTTGTCAACTACCTGTATCTTGTTCGTGTTCCGAATATCGTCTAGGCAATATTGTTGTTTTCTACTAAGCATTCTTGTTTGAATGAATTGAAAAAAACTGTCCGTATGGCAACCTCTGACCACAATTGGCACAAGTGGCTTGCTTTGAAGGGAGTTTTGAAATTAATTCGATATCAAAAGGCAAAGTTTAAATTATACATTTCTCAGGGGCTGTCTGTTTGATAGCCTTAATTGGTGATTGGTGCAATTGTTCTTTAACAAATCTGATTTGTCTTTCTGTGGTTTGATACTTTCTACTGATTTTATATTGTGTTTCCTCTTATATTTTCTCAAATAGTAGGGTCTGTTTGTCTCATAAGTTTGTTTAAGCCATAAGGTATTTGTATTTGTCAATTATGAAATGAAAGAAATTTATTATTTGGGTCAAAGTTTTGGTTTCAAATGTGGTCTCTCCATGGTGATATGCTTAATCCTCTTGCCTATAGCTTAATCCCCCAACCTCTCTCTCTTTTGGACGGTCATGATGGTGCACAGGTCGCCAATAGTGCGACTCTATGTGCAGCGCCCAATTAAACAGGGTTTTTGGTGTGGGGCCGATAAGCAACATTGTATCAGCTTTTACCTGTATGGTGAACACTCTTTTTAGGTATAAGAACAAAGCTATATAAAATTGCTATTTGATGTGATAGTGTTAGTACATAATCTCTGGGAATGTTGCGAAACTTGTTAATAGTGTTTTGCACCCAATATATCTGACCACGTTCATAAGATTAGAAATAACCTGCTGAGATGGTAATGTGACATATTGACTGCCTGTAACGCTATTGTTGGGTCTCCCATAATCTATATTTAGTTTGCATTGAGCTTTCTGAATTCTATTCAAGTTTCTCTCTTTTTTATTTCCTTAGTAGGGTGGCTGTGCGCTGTAGGCTTGAATCCATTCCTTTCAATATGCAATATTCTTTTTCCACTTGGTTAAACTTTCTTTTAATCATGCACATTGGTCCTGGTTTCAAATACCATTCATGTCAGGTCAAGTGATTACTGAGGTGGTAGTTAAAACTGTCTTTCTTTCTGCCTTTTTGGTAATGTTTGTGTTTCCCTTAGAATTGTGTTTTGGAATCTATAATAAACGGGGAGCAAATTATTTTTTGAACAAATGCAGGTATCTGGTTCCTGCAGATCTAACAGTGGGGCAGTTTGTGTATGTTGTGAGGAAACGTATAAAATTAAGTGCTGAGAAAGCCATATTCATCTTTGTGAAGAATGTATTGCCTCCCACAGGTGAATCATGAGCTGCAATGGAATATTCACTTGTGTAACCTATGTGTGCGTTTTTTGGATTTACGTTTTTCTTTCGATGTTTGCAGCTGCTATGATGTCAGCCATTTACGAGGAGCACAAGGATGAAGATGGTTTCCTGTACATGACATACAGTGGCGAGAACACGTTTGGAGCCCTCTAGATGGAGAATCCTCTCTCTTTCTCTTGCATGTGCACTCTCTCTCTCTCTCTCTGGCACTGTAGATAAAAAATGTATATCCTCTAAGGACGATCCATCGTTCTTCATGGTTTCATACTTTAAACTTGCACTTTATCTGCTGATGAATTACTCTTAAACATGGAAATACTTGGATTGTTGGATGATGAACAAGTGATTTAACATCTCATTTGTGATGCATGGTGGCTTATTTGTTGCATCAGTGGTTCTATGCTTTCTATTACTGCTGTGATTTGTAGATGTAGATTGCAGAAACCCTTTTTCTACAGCCCTCATCTACTACATGGTTGCATTTATTACCTGTCATGGTTGCATTCCTTTACATGGCATTCAACTGATTGCCTAAATAAATAGACATGCATGCTCTCGGTGTGTATTCATCGTACAAATATGGATGTCACATGTAATCTCTATGATCTTAGCATGGATTTGTTGCATAAATTGTGCTTTTCTATATTTTTCCATATTGTTATGCAAATCATTATTCAATCGAGCATATCTTTTGAGACTTGTGAGATGCTACTTCCTTTAACAAGGGCTCCCAATCTCTACACAGATAATTTGAACAGAGTGAATTTTAAGAACAATGAAAACATAGAAGAAGCTACAGTTCCACAATCACAGAAAACCAAAAATAAGGTGGATGTTGACTTTTGTGTTTACTTTGAAGTCATTTTCATGTGATACTGTGTTCTCACCCACTAGGCTGAGAGTCCATCCCTTCACCTTCGGAGTTGTCTTCGTTTCTTGCTCCATGCTTCTAGATGCAGCAGCCTTTGGTTTGGCCCCCATCTACTTCTTACACTGCTTTTCCTCCTTTCCTGTCGGTAACTTTTTCTTGTCTCTGTTTCCTGTGGCATTTGACCAGCTGTTGTCTCTGTTTCCTGTGGCATTGGATCAGTTTGTTTTGTTTGATGCTGCCATTCCTGTGTGTCAATGAAATGTCACCGTATTGTACTAGATATAGCGAACTTTAGCCAGGTTCTTTTTGCCTGTGGCATTTGACCAGCTGTTGTCTCTGTTTCCTGTGGCATTGGATCAGTTTGTTTTGTTTGATGCTGCCGTTCCTGTGTGTCAATGAAATGTCTCCAGAAATCAGATGCCAAAAAGAACCTGGCTAAAGTTCGCTATATCTAGTAGAATACGGTGAATCTGGGTATGTGACTTGCATGCAGTGGATGCTATCCAAACCCAAGACGACCTAAGACAAGATTATTTTAAAATCTTAATTCATTTCTTCAAGCAACCATACCTTACAGGAAAGTACGGTTAGAAGGAAGAAAAAGTGAAAAAAAAGGCAGATTTTAGTCTCTTTTGTTTGGAAATTCCCAAACGACAGGCTGACTTAACCAAAAAAAACCGTCTGATTTTATCTCCCAAACAACTTCATCCTCCAAATTTCTAGGGATGAATACCTATTTTAACATATCCATCAAAGCAAGGTAACTTGAGTAAATGTTATCATTAATTCTATTATAGAGGAACTAAATATTCAACACGCTATCATTCCCCGAAATTCAACAACTTCATAAATCTTTGCATTAGGGTGCAACATTTTTTCAAAAACCTCAGGAAAAACCACTCCTATCAGTGCCGAAAGGAGACCTGGTAGCCATCACCAATAGACCACCGAATATTTATATGAAGTAGCGGTTTACAAAGAAAGATAGCCCTCCAAAAAACAGAATGATTGACAACCTCTACCACCGCGAATCCACCAGCCATGTCTATTATTTCTTTATTTCTGGTAAAACACTTGACACCACAATTGATATTTAAAGTTAAAGACTTCGCCACAGCTACTTACATAGCAAAGCTTGGTTGGCCAGCCCTACCTTTCTAATACCCAAACTACCTTTATTCTTAAGGGTACAAACTCTATACCAACAGAGGAGATGGTATTTCTTAGCCTCACCATACGATCCTCATAAAAAATCTCTCATCATTTTTCTATTTTGTTGATAATAGAAGATGGCATTTTTATTACTGACATTTGACAGATGGGTGGATTGGCCAAGCAAGAACTTAAAAGAGTGATTTTGCCCCAAGAAAAAGGTATTTTGGTTTCCAAACGTCTAACTTCCGTTGAACCCGTTGCAGCACTTTGTCCCAAAGCGAAATGGGTTTCCTCTCGATAGAAATCAGAAGCCCCAAATAGGCAAAAGGAAAGGATCCTACTGAACAGCTTATAGCCTTAGCTAAATCCTTTACCAATAGCTCACTGCAATTTATACCAAAGAGAGAAGTCTTGTCAAAGTTAACTTTTAGCCCCACAACTACCTCACAACAACTCAAGAAATGAGCAATATTAGAGACTTGAACAATATTTGCCTGGCAAAAAATAATGTTATCATCATATTGGAGATGAAACACACTAAGATTGTTATCCCGTACAGGAAAGCCAACAAAATTGTCTGCACTCTCCACATTCTTAATCAACAGACTAAAGCATTCAACATAGATAGTAAAGAGAAAAGGCGACAAAGTATCACCTTGACGTAATCCCCTTGAAGCCTTAAAAAAACCCTTGGGGCTACTATTGATATGAATTGAAAAATGAGCACACTCGAAGATCCAGCTCCTCCATCTTTCACCAAAGCCGATTTTTCAATATTTCCAACAAAATACCTCATTCTACTCTATCATAAGACTTCTCTACATCCAGTTTAATTACTACCCCTGGTAGTTGACTTATCAATCTCGAATGAATATACTCTTGTGCCACCAACACACTATCTGTAATAATTCGATATTGGACAAAAGTTGATTGAGGACCAGAAATAATCAAAGGGAGAACCCTTTTAAGCCTCTCAGCCAAAATTTTGGCAACAATTTTATACAAACCCGTGAGAAGGCTTATGGGTTTAATATCAGACATAACCAAAATCGAGGACTTCTTTGGAATAAGAGCAATGAAAGTTGAGTTTACACCTTTGAAAAGTTCTCCCTCAGCATAAATCCACGGATCATTTCCAAGAGTTCCACTTTCATGAAAAAAGAATAGAAGGAAGCCATATGGCCCAGGAGCTTTATTACTCGTGAGTGAGAAAACTGTATTTTTAAATTCTTCCATGGATACCACAGCTTCCACATGGGTAGTATCACTCGATGGAAGAACTTTAAAGGGACTCTATCAAGTTTAGGGGTAAATTTCACCGCTGAAGAAATTCCTTTTTAAAATGAGCAATGATCTCATTATGCCTACCATCACAATCATCTTCATTTATACCGTGTAAGGATAGGTCAGAAATATCATTTTGATGTCTCCTAACACTAGTAATGGCATGGAAATAATTCATATTGAAGTCACCCTCCTTAAGCCATTTGGTCCTACACCTCTTCCTCCAATAGATTTCCTCCATTCTAAGAAGGTCATTAAGGTCTTTGATTTTAACATCTCTATCATTCATCATATCCTCTGTAAATATTTCATTTATTTGAGAATAAACATCAATCGATTCTATACCTTAGAGTACCTCTTCAATTTTGGCCCTAACATTAAATCTATTTTTTTTCTTCCATAGAATCAATTTCTGTTTAATATTTAATCAGTTTCTTATGCAATTGGAAGTCTATAGAACCATAGGTGATAGTGTTCACCCAAGTAGCCTTAAGAATCCAAAGAGGAGGACGACCCACTGCTCACATCGATCAGTGAGTCTTCAGCAGAATTAGTTGGTCTGACTTGAGCTCCTCCAATTGAAACTACCTCACGCAACAATTCTAGCTGAAGACCATATAGGTTTCAAAGAAACTTTAACTTTCATCTTCCCGACATTGTTAACGGGGTCTTATGTGACCCAGAGTCACTAACTGGAGCCTTTGCCTTAGACTCCTCGGCCAAATTCCAGGCTTTTTTGGCACTTCAAAATATATCCCCATGTCATTTAACATTTTCGCTACCTTACTTTCCTCCTCTTCTTCTTCCATCCCATTTCGATTTGCGTCATCCCCAAGAGACAAGAGCAAAAGAAGATCCACCTCCAGCTGAATGTTGAGAGGGACTTAGTCATCAACCTTCACAAGTGCACCCTGAGCATCAAATTAGTCTTCCTGCTCCATCTCATCCGTCAGTAAAAGATTTGTGGCCAAATCCTCAAGGGGCATCACATAAGAATCAACTTGGTCCTCTAATTGCTCCATGTTAGCATCAAAGACGGGGATGATAGCAAAGGATGAACCTCCAGGGGATCAAACATCGGCTTGGGAGTGGCTGGAGGCCCCGTTCTCATTGCCCGTCTAAACGGCAGAAGTTTAATCCTCTCCCTAAGAAGAAGAAGAAACAACAACCAGAGAACTTTTAGGTATTCTTTGTGGCTTAGGAGATCCAACTTAGTAAGAAGTAAAACTTCTCCCAACAAGCAACCTTTAAGCAAAGAGGGGTCTTCAATCTCCCGATCCTCTTTCCTTGATGAGAGAAGCACAACTTTCAAGGAGAGCTCCACCTGGTTGATAGGGAAGGCAACTTCCAAACACAGTGGTGCACTTTCCAAAAAAATATCCTTTCTTTCTCAAGATTTCACATGAGTGCCATCTGTGTTATCTACACCGCCACGCCCAATACACAAAGAGTTTTGAGGCAAGATCTCGAAGAGGTAGACCATAGGAGAACACTCAGGAAGCCTTAGATCACTCCCATCCATCCCAACTCTGCAATCTGAGGTTGAAGGACCATTCATCCTCCTATTCAAAATAACCGCCGATCCCCCATTAGTAGGCACAATCTTCTCACAAATCGAAACAGCTCCCCCCGTAGAAGAAGAGGGAATATCAGTCAACCCAGATTTTCAAACTGAAGCTTCCATATTTAAAGGACAAAAATCAGCAGTAAAATCTGGCAACCTCCTCACTAGAGCCGAATGTTTTTTCAAATTTGAAATAGGAAATTTTAAAAATTGACCATTTTTTCTTTTCTGATGATGACGCTGATTCCGGCAATGGCCACTGGAATTCCCAGTTTCTATCGAATTGAGCGCAACTCCAAGTTGCCTTTTTTAGGCTCTTTTCGATTCGCTCGCCCACATTCCATCACATGCTCATTGCCATAGCATCTCCCATTGGGATGACTGTCCCATCATCCTCTGAAACCAGTGGTTTAAGAAACAAATTGATGCCCCGGATCGAGCATCCTAAAAACCCATCTTGATCGGGAAATCAGCGATCCAGATCGTGAATCGGCCGAATCAGTTTAATTAAACCTTA